AAACCGCATTGAATCATCACAATGTATTCCCTTTTTTTTGGTCAAAACAGCCTTGCTTCATGGCTGTTCGGCAAGAACGCATAGCCGAACGACTGTGCTACCTCAATCGAGACGCAACCGCAAATAAATCGATCCAGAAAAGGAAAAACAACAACATAAGGCAATCCTAATAACCCAACATGATATAAGGCTCTGATACCACTTGTTATAATAACTGAAACTGGGGGGGAGCAATCAAATCCTAATCTTGTAGTAACATACCAATACAATACACGAAGAACAAGAAGCCATGTTGCACCCCAAGTATATCATGCAGCAGTTATCAAGGAGGTTGAATATAAATACTTGTATCCATCGTAGCAGACAAACCCTTGCGGAATAAGTGATGAATCAAGATTGGTCGACTGGTGTGGTTTTCCTTAGTTAAATCTTCCTTCTTTCTTAGGTTTTCTCAACTCTTTGACTCTAATGGGGTAGAGCAAGAGGGCGGCTAGATGATTTAACATATTGGGAACCATAACCTAGGAGCCTTTATATTTTGACCTAATAGGATCCCATTAAGCCTATATGGGCTAAAATGTGGTATCCACTCATTAAGCCCCATACCTTCTTGTTGGAGTCTATGGACTTTGCATAAATGAATCACTTGAGTACGTGGGGTTCTAACTCACCCCCTCAAGCAATGTCGTGGAAGTCATGGAGAGCTTGTCACGGAGGAAGGAGAAGCGGCGAACGTGTAGAGGCTTGGTGAAGACATTTACCGTTTGATCAACAGTGAAGAGAAATTTGATCTCAAGGAGGCGACGTTGAACTTTGTCCCGAACAAAGTGATAATCCAGCTCAACATGCTTACTGCGAGAGTGCTGAACGGGATTGGAAGCAAGGTACGTGGCAGCGATATTGTCACACCACAAGAGCGGAGAGGAAGTGGGAGAGAAGCCCATTTCATGAAGGAGCATTTGAATCCAGACCAGTTCGGCTGCAAGGATGGCGAGAGACCTGTACTCTGCCCCAGTGCTGGATCTAGAGATAGTGGAGTGTTTCTTGGAGGACTAGGATATGAGATTTGGCCCATAGTAAATGCAATAGCCGCCATGAGACCATCGGTCATCAAGGGACCCGACCCAATCCGAATCACTATAGCCATGAAGTTGAGTCGATGGAGTGCGACAAATATGAAGACCAAGGGTGTAGGTGTGCTTGGTGTAACATAGGATACGCTTGACAACAACCCAATGGTTAACCGTGGGCTTGGACAAAAATTGGGCCACCTTGTTCACAGAGAAAGCCAGGTCCGGTTGAGTCACAGTCAGATACTGTAGAGCACCAACAGTGCTTCGATATAACGTTGGATCATCAAAGATGTCAGAATCATCAAGGAAGAGTTTAACAAAATCCGCCATAGGGGCGGTGCACGGTTTAGCATTTGTCATGTAAGTGCGATGAAGAAGGTCCAAGGCATACTTGGACTGAGAGAGAACCATGCCACCGGCGGTGGGCTAAGGTTCAAGCCCAAGAAAGAAATGCAAAGGCCCAAGGTCTCGTACGGAGAACTCAGAAGCAAGGGCCTGAATGAACTGATCAACAAGAGCGGGGCTAGAACCAGTAATGATGATATCATCAACATAAACGAGCACCAAAGTAATGTCACGAGGAGTGTGATGAATGAACAGTGAGGCATCAGCTGGACTCAATAAGTCATGACTAACTAAAAAACTGTGCAGCCGAGTGAACCAAGCTCGTGGAGCCTCCCATAAWCTATAGAGAGAGCGATGTAGTCGGCAGACATGATCGGGGTAGGACGGATGCTGAAAACCGGGTGGCTGACTCATGTAGACTTCCTCGATTAAGTAGCCATGAAGGAAAGCGTTATTGACGTCCAATTGACGGATAAACCAGGACTTGGACGTGGCGATGGAGAGAACCATCCTGATTGTGCAAGGTTTAACAACTGGGCTGAAAGTATCCGAAAAGTCAATCCCCTCTTGCTGGTGATATCCTTTGGCAACGAGACGCGCTTTGTAGCGTTTAATGGTATCATCAGTGCGGCGCTTAATCTTGAATACCCAATGACATCCCACAATATTTTTGTCTTGTGGTAGAGGAATGAGGGACCAGGTTTGGTTTTGGACCAGCGCAGAGAACTCGATATTCATGGCATCACGCCACTTTGGATCACGCGCAGCTTGAGTGAAGGAAGTGGGCTCAATGTCAATGGTGACCGTAGTGAGAGCATACTTGGGATTCGGTTTGAAGACCCCACATTTGGAGTGGGTCTGCATTCCATGAGTAGGAATAGTAGCGGAGGTGGAGGACGTCGCCGGATCCGAACCCGGAAGTGGAAGAGGAGCGGCAGTGCTGCTGGACTACATCATGGAAGACTCGAGGGAGTCCACAGGAGAGTGGGCCRTGGGAGAAGGCGAATGGGCTAGTGAGGAGACTACAACAGGTGGAGAGGTGATCGGGACGGCAATAATAGGTAGCTGATGGCACGGGGCCAGAACTGGTGGCGGGCCCAATAGGGAGAGCATGTCTTGGGAGCATGAAGTCGTGCTACGTGGGGATGAACCATCGCTGTAAGAAAAAGATGTCTCATCGAAGATAACATTATCAGAAATGTAGAGACGACCAGAAGGTTTGTGCAGGCAAAGATAACCCTTATGACGAGAGCTATAGCCGAGGAAAGTGCAGCGAAGAGTACGGAAATCAAACTTGTTGCGGTTGTAGGGATGCAGGTTGGGGTAACAGTCACAACCAAAAACTCGGAAGCGGCAGTAATTCGGGGGATGTCCAAAGAGTAGCTCGTACGAAGACTTGTGGCCAAGAAGCAGGGTCAGTAAGCGGTTGATTAAGAAAACCGATGTGGCAAAGGCTTCACTCCAGAACTGGCAAGAAAGCTTGGCATTGTCGAGGAGTGTCAGACCGGTATCAACAATGTGGTGGTGTTTACGCTCGGCGACACCATTTTGAGCGTGAGTGTGTGGACAGCTATAGTGGTGGACAATATCGTGTTCCTGTAAGTAAGTATGGAAGTGGCAGTATTCACTCCCTTCATCGGTGTGTAAGATTTTGATAGGCCTATTCAGTTGTTTTTCAATCATGGTCAGGAAACGAATAAAAGTATACAATGCTTCAGATTTCGTATGCAAAGGAAAAATCCAAGTAAATCTAGTAAAAGCATCCGTAAACTCAATGTAGTAACAGTGACCATTATTGGAGGGCACAGGATAAGGCCCCCATAAGTCAAAACAGACAACATCTAAAGGAGCAGACACACTAATTGATGAAGGTGGATAAGGGAGACGATGAGACTTTCTACGAATGCAAGAAGAGCAAACTTCTAAGACAGACTTGGAGTCAACTGATAGGTGGTGCTGCTGAACAATCTGCTGAACTACACGGTGTTGAGGATGCCCGAGACATCGATGCCAGCCGTCAACAGTAATACGAACCCCGAGAATGGCCACAAGTCCTTTATTTGAGCTACGGAAAGAAACAGAGAGCTGATAGAGGCCATCTTTAATCGACCTGAAAAGGATTGGTGTCCCCCGAATTTTGTCCTTCACAACAAAACCAGAATCATCAAATTCAAATAGAACATTATTGTCTTGGCAAAACTGACGAACAAATATACGGGAAGAGGTATGAAGAGAATTCTGTCCAATGTGTTTGATGTCCAAACCTGTCCCATTACCTACGACTATCTTGTCATTGCTGTTGTAATTAGACCGAAGAGAGAGATTGCCAAGATCGGCTGTAAGGTGATTCATGGCACCGGTGTCAGGGTACCAATTGCCATCAGATGATTCTGGGGTATTGGAGGCAACAAAAGCCTTCGATGGTGGAGTACTTCCGGATGCCTGAAAGCTGAGATCGAAGCGGTGGAAGCAAGAGAGCCGAATGGCCAACCTTGCCGCAAACATGGCAAGTGACCTTCGGTTGAGATGAAGTGGTGTTGTTGTAACGACCCTTACCTCTGCCACCACATGGAGAGGGGTTGCCACCACGACCACCCCAGTGAGAGTTGGGTTGGAGAGCTCTTGGTTTATGAACAACTGAGTTGGCAGAGAGTTGAGAGTTAGTGATAGTAGAGTGTTGGCGGTTGAGGCGGAGCTCAAACTGATAGAGGAGACTATGAAGCTCTTCGAGAGAAAGAGGATCGTGTTTGGTGGTGATGGTGGTGACAAGTGGATCATAGTCTGGTCCCAGACCTCCCATGGTGTGAAGGATGATGTCATCGGACAAGAGACCTTGGCCGGCAACTTCAAGTGCATCCGTGTATTGACCTGTTGGAGATAGTCAGTCATTGACTTGGAGCCTTTGTGGAGATGATGAAGGTCATTTTTAAGTTGCATGATCTTGGCTCGTGAGGGAGAGGCATATATACAAGTCAGGGTTATCCATGCATCATGAATGGTTCTGCAGCCAACTACCTGAGCAAGAGCTCCTTTAGTGAGAGTCACGAGTAACCAGCTAAGCAAAAGCTTGTCTTGGATCTGTCATGAGGTGAACACTGGGTTCACGGTTTTGACGCCTGCGGTGTCTATCGTATCATTGAGGAACTACGGGGGACATTAGGAAGAGCCATCTAGATAGCCGAACAACCCTAGTCCTTCAAGCATAGGTTGGTATTGGGCCTTTCACAATAGATAGTTGTGCTTATCTAGCTTGACGGAAATTAAATTGGCAAGATTGTCAAAGGGGGAAGAGAAAGGAGAAGAGAAAGAGGAAGGGTTGGCGGTCATGGCTCTGATACCAAGTAAAAGAGGATAATTAGTTAGGAGTAGTTAAATGTATTACTGATTGATCAGGTGTTTAAATACAAGGTTGTTAGTTTATAGGATAAGTACAATAGTTAGGATAACTCTATCTAAAATAGAGTTAGAGATGAACTACGACTCTAGAGGATAATCACCCTAGAGGATAACCATTATCAAGAGTTACAGGCCATGCAAGGATATAGGATGATCCATGCAAAGGTGACGTGAGTACGTGGGGTTCTAACTCGCCCCCTCAAGCGATGTCGTGGTAGTCATGGAGAACTTGTCACAGAGGAAGAAGAAGCGGCGAACGTGCAGAGGCTTGGTGAAGACATCTACCGTTTGATCAACAGTGAAGAGAAATATGATCTCAAGGAGGCGATGTTGAACTTTGTCCCGAACAGAGTGATAATCCAGCTCAACATGCTTGCTGTGAGAGCGCTGAACGGGATCGGAAGCAAGGTAGGTGGCACCGATATTGTCACACCACAAGACTAGAGAGGAAGTGGGAGAGAAGCCCATTTCACGAAGGATCATTTGAATCCAAACCAGTTCGGCTGCAAGGATGGTGAGAGACATGTACTCTGCCTCAATACTGGATCTAAAGACAGTGGAGTGTTTCTTGGAGGACCAGGATATGGGATTTGGCCCATAGTAAATGCAATAGCTGCCATGAGATCGTCGGTCATCAAGGAACCCGGCCCAATACGAATCACTATAGCCATGAAGTTGAGTCGATGGAGAGCGACGAATATGAAGACCAAGGGTGTAGGTGTGCTTGATGTAACGTAGGATACGCTTGACAGCATCCCAATGGTTAACCGTGGGCTTGGACATAAATTGGGCCACCTTGTTCACAGAGAAAGCCAGGTCTAGTTGAGTCATGGTCAGATACTGTAGAGCACCAACAGTGCTTCGATATAACATTGGATCATCAAAAATGTCAGAATCATCAAGGAAGAGTTTAGCAAAAGCTGCCATATGAGTGGTGCTTCAATTCGATTCAAATTATCCGAATTCGATTCGATTATGTTGAATATTGAATTCGAAATTGGATTTTCGAATACCATTGACAACCCTAAGTTCACGTTCCTTCCTCATTCTCCCTCCCCTTTTGTAGAGTTTTGTTGCTTTTCCTCCACTGAACCTATCCACACATCGATGACCATACCACAACGGACAATGAGCCCAACCAGTGGCCATTAGCAACAAGAGCTCCGACGATACACTTTCTGGCCTCCTCCTCCTCTTCTTCTTCTTCTTCTTCTTCTTCTTCTTCTTCTTCTTCTTCTTCTTCTTCCAAACGGTTTGTTGTTTTCTCTTTTCAACAGATCGAAGCCTTACATCGGCGGGATTCTTCACTTGAATGAAGGTGGGTCAACACCAGCAAGCTTCTTATTTCTTTTTGGCTATTTGGACAAGGTCTGATCAGAGTCTAGCCATTGATCTGTTCAAAATAGAAAACAATGAATACCTTTGTAAGGAGGAGGATGCCAGACAACGTATCAGCACTGGAGTCTCACCGTCGATGGATGACGACTGATGGCCGATGAACAATGGCCAGTGTGGTGTGCTCGCCGATGTGTGGGGTAAGAGGATTTGGTGGAGGAGAAAAGAGAATGAGAGGTAGGGTTTGAACTGAAAGGGGTTTCAATTTAGTTTTTGTCGTTTTGTGTCCAATTTAACCACACTCCAATTAATGTTCGCCTGCCCGTTAACGTTAGCCCGTTTTGGTAAAGACAACATGATCGTCTCTCATTGGCGGGTTCACCCATCGCCGTTCACAGAACGCGGACTCGTCAAGTTCAGCACTTGCGTTTAGTGCTCCAAAAATGACCCACAGCACATCCTAAGCATGCATTGGGAACATCTCCCAACGACAAGTACGGGAGATGTTTTCAATGCACGCTGAGATGTGCGTGTGGAATATTTTTGGAGCACATTCTGTGGGGAGCAGATGTGAACTCTCCAAACGAGCAACTATGATCTTGTTCAATTAAGCTGACATCTGGCTACCCATACCCAAAGTTCAACATACCGATACACATGATATGCCAGTAGAGGCGTATCAGGCAGTATCAGTAGCTTATTTTTATTTTTTTAGTTTTTTCAAATCTTGTTCAGAGGGACCGGTTTAAGATTCATCCACCCTTGAACCAATTGAGACCTTGAAACACCCCTGGAGGGGCATATCGAGAAGCCCCCGATACGATACGTATCAACTAATACAGCCCAATATGTATCGAAATTTTGAACCTTGCCCACACCTACACACAAAGGACGATACAGCCCAATATAGCACAATAACTAGAACCCAAAAGAGGGATCATAATACTCGTGAAAATTTCTCATAAAACAGGGGATGACAACAACGAGAGAAGCGTGAAAAAAGGAATGGCAAATGGTAGAATGAAGTTTTCAATTTAAAACATGAAACTAAATATAAATGTTTTTCTTTTAATTTACTTAAATCATCTCGTTGGTTTTTTCATGTTTAGCTTTGTTGAATTTAACTACACGATGTTCACATGCTACCATTTATAAACTACCTAAATAAAATTTATATAAACAATTGAATATATATAGTTTTACAAATGGAGGATGGTAATAAACGGGAAATGATGGGTGGGTTCAAGCTGATGAGTGATGACAACAAGAGCATACATACTCCTCATGGGTCTGCATGCCCTGCAACTTCATCATCACTTGACTCGCATTCCCCATCGCTAATGTCCTCATCATCACTACTCTCTTCGGTGGGAACGTTGGTAATGTTCTCCCTCTTTGCATATCGCTCACAGTACTCTGTTGCCATGAATAATATCATGTGTTTTTTCACAATAAGAACCAGTGCTTTCTTTATGATGAGCAGAAGGAAATCCCGTTTTATATAGGCTCAGTTTGGAATCAGTACAAATACAAATATGTACAGTGCATACAAAATAATACAAAATGCAAGGTTTTGCATTCCACATATTTGTATCTGTACTCCTTCCAAACTGAGCCATAAGTACTAATTTGCCCTGATGACAAATTAGGAAGATAAACTTTGAAAATTTCTTACCTTTCACTTTGTGCTCATATTGTTGTTGGTCCTTGAGCATCAATGAAGCTGCATCCCCATTTAATGGATCTGAAGGATTTGGGTAACGCAAGAGCTGTGGAAGGAAGACCTCAAAGACATTCAGCAAATCTGCATCCACAATAACCATCGTAACATAATGAAAACCTCATCATGAATAACCCAGAGTAACTCGATAACAAAATGCAATAAAGGAGTAACATGTAATACATATAAAGAAGAGCAGTATGTATTATTTATATCTGCTTGTGTGTGTGAACAAGCATAGGCTTGTGGATGAATGAACACATAAATGCATCCTAAAATGGTTCAAAAGCATTTTTACCAAACATTGGACTCCAAGATTGGTTGATAACATCCAAGCATACAGAACCAGACCTGCAGTACATAATAAAACAGGAGATTGTAAGCATGGAACAACACTTTGCTTTTGGGGATTAAGGGAAATGACACTGGAAAAAAAAAGCAGATGGTACTTAGTTTGAAAGATCAATAAAGTAAAATGACATATAAGGGGACTTTTAAATTCCCTTGGCACTTGAATACAGGATAAGGAAGCCAAGCTACCCAATTTTTAAGTTTAAAATTTTGTCTTGATGGTTAATTCTGACAAAAGAAGATATGTTAAATAATTGTATGTCATGGCTGCGTGTGAATACATTAAATATGCTTACAGCTCATCAACGTTTGGGTGGAATATTTTGTTTAGAAATCCAATGGAAGGGGACTTGTAAGGATAAGCATCTGGCAACTCAACACGGACTTTCCACACTCCACCTTCATAAAGGCCTGCAAAGTGCAAACAACACAGTCCAATGGAACCAATTAAAGAATCTTCACATCAATAAAAAATGAGCTTAATTTGAAATCAAAATAATAAAATACATTTGAAGACGTAATCTTAAAGAAGTAGAACGGAAAAGAAAAAATCTGAACTCCTAGTGGTTCTGTGGCCGCCTTGTAAATTGAAATCGAACAACTCTCAATGGTTTCATATTGTGGAAACAAATCTAGAATGCAGACGTTCAGCCTCAAAATTAAGGCTTATCATGGTTTGCAACATATCCAGTGGCATAATTTTTTGATGTTGACATTCTGGATATTTAGCACCTGTTCAGCATACCAAGGTAATACTGCAACCAACATACAGTACCAACAATGTTACAGGCAGTTATTAAAGGGGAGTTACTTGGCCACTTCCCATTCTGATAAAGGGGACTTATCCCCGATCATATATTATGTAGTACATATTTTGATATACAGAAACGTCCCAGGATGTTGACTTTTATCATTGTGAAGTATAAATAAAGTTTCTTTGTCTTTTCACTACGAGTATTCCCAATTTATAAAATGTAGGACATGCCCAAGTGCATGAGATAAAATCTCATTAACTAGATGTCAATCCATCTACAAGGCATACTTCCATCACCCTCTATGTACCAAACAGGTTGGAAAATTCATTTCCAACGATGATAAAGGGGACTTATCCCCGATCATATATTAACCTGCCACATTTTTAGCATGAAGCAGCTTCTCTCAGACTTAAACCTGCATTCTCACACTTATTAGACCAATATTTTACCATGGCACCAACTACCCCTAGGACTCCTTAAATTACTAAAGCTAATAAATTTAAGCTTCCTGAAATAGTAAAGTTGGAATTATAATAAATTTAAGCTTCCTGAAATGATAAATTTAAGCTAAAAAATATCTCTAAACTAATAAAAAAGGGAATTATAAAGTCTATGTTTCCCCAGAAATAGAAAGTGAAGACTCATACAATCTTAAATATCCCTCTTGAACCAGTAACAAAAGAAGGCAATTACCAAACGTTGGTCCCAGTTATCTTCGGCCTGTTAAACCAGTACCACAAAAACAAAAAGAAAAAAAAAAACTCTTAAAAATTATTTGAAATTTTGCTCACACTTAATTTTTATTGGAATCAATGATAAAAGAAAAAAGATTTCATTAAATGTAAGGAGAAATGGTAGAAATTCCTAAAGCCAATGGTAATCACACTTCATATGTCCTTTGTTCCACTTAAACAAGTCAACAATTACCCCCATCTGAAAGCATGGAACAAGTTAACGACTAGCAACCATTAAACTACTAATTTGAACCACAGAACTCAGAACTAAGACCACACCATTAACATGCACAAAACTGAGAATTAATGCTATCCTCAATCCATTGAGATTAGTCAAATTTTAAGCCAACGATGAACAAATTAATGAGATGCACTCACCAATGAATCATTTCCCCACTAAAATGCTTAATCACCATTCCTAATTCAGAACTAGTACATAGTAACTGCAGATAACACATCCACTAAACAAACTATAATTTTTTTTTCCTTTATTTCAATGGACAAATTTATGTTTACAGTAGTAGTAGCAAGACAAAGGGAAAATCAACTTACTTTCTTTTGGACCGTGGAATTCAACATTGAATTCATTAATTCCATCATTGATTGGCTCCACAGTATAATCACTCATCATCCTGAATAACATCAGATCAATGGATCAGAAGCACCATAAAAAATAAAATGAAAACATCATTAACCAAAATTCTGACCAGCTGCAGTTACACATCAAGCTAAATAGTTCTCATCTTGTCAACTGGACAGCAAGAAATAGAAACAGTACCAATAATGCAACAATTCATTCAAAATGGAATATGGAAACAAAATTTTAAACTTACAGCTTCATGACATCCATATCTCTCCTCTTACTTGGGGAAGACATTATTCTCCTTTAATATTATAGCTCAACTCCTAGCCTGGTACATGTCCAGGAGATACATTTAAATTTGCCATTATGTGATGTTTCCATTATATTAAACTATAAAAAACACTTATTAAATAAAGAAATAAAAAATAGAACATTCAATCAATAATAACATATTGGCTAAGATCCACATATGACATCAATCATTCCAAGAATGGCAAAGAAGAAAATAAAAGGGGAAAACTCAATATCAATAAGAACACACATGCTATTAGAAACATGTCTATTTTGAAGAATGACTGAAATTTGAAATGAAGATTCAATGAGTTGACATGTGCTTATATCATTAGCCAATATATGAAATAAATTTTCATTGCCAAGTTATAAACTTATAATACCTCTTAAGAAATAGATGAAATCATTAAAACCTTCATGAAAAATCTGTATGCATCTATCAATGAAGAAGGAATGAGATTGTTTTCAAGAAATAAGAGGTAACCTATGACAACAACACCGAAAGGGCACTTTTAGAGTATACTTTATAGCATTAACACTTTTAACATATATAAAATGGATTTTTTTTAAACAAATCATAGTATAAAAATCTGTATATATTAGACGTTTAATTAAATTGGCAAGTTATAAGTAACTAAGTATTGATAGATGATACTTTGCTCCAAAAGTTTGACACTGTAGAATGATATAAGAAATATTAAATAGGATGATGATTGTACCCATATGAGTCAAGGATCTTAGGAAAAAGAGAGCTATTTACCCATTTCCCCTATTTGTGCCCTTATCAATATCCATATTCAGGCATCATAGGAGACAAGACAATGCAGTCATCAACCAAAGAAAATTCAAGCATATTTTTTAGCCAAGAAACTGATAAATATTTCAATTCGGAGATCTTAAAATCTCTTTTTGCCTGGGAAAGGAGCAAAATAGAAAAGAGGAAAAATGCATATATTTTGCAATATTGGATAAAGACAAAACTATAAGTCAAATGCAAAAGCGAAAGATGCCATGGAGGAAAAGGAAGAAGGGACGTCAGCTTGGCAGGAAGAAGTGGAACCATGTATAGTCTTTTCCAACTAATCAGGTAAATGGTGAAAACAAGACTAACTTGGATGACAGACATCTGATGCAAGTTCTTAGCGGGAAGGCAATAGGATGGTTGATGACAGGGAGTTAAGTCTCTCACTGGGCAATGCAGGAAGACAGTATGCTGAGAGTGATAGAGAAAGTCGAAGATAGTAAAATGGTTACACTGCTTCAATGGAAAAACAAAAAATTTTATAGCAACATATTATCTCAGCCAAGCATGGTAGAAGGAACTTGGACTAGGATCTAGAGAGGCAAGAGACTTGTATTGGGGCACGGCTTGGAAAGGAATCAACAAAAGCTACTTGCACTTCACTAAAGGGATTAAATAAAAGGTTGGAGGGGCCCATGGAGTGATAAGTACAGAGTCATGGAATCCCATTTTTATACATGGCACCTAACAATATAAATGCTCTTGTAATTGGATATTATGAAAACCAAAACCAAGAAGAATAGGTAATAAGGAATAAGGAATCCTAGACAAAGAAGAAATATCGAGAATTGGAAATTTGATGCCATGGCAGATATGGGAATCAGTTAGCTATTTGTTACTACACTGTTCATATTCATACCAGGTGTTGACCCACTTCATAAGTCCTTTTGGTAAAAGTTGGGTACCATCAAGTGACATCTGTTCTCTGTTCTCTGCATGGCCTGGTGGTGATCTCAGCAAGAGGAGCAGGATTTTGTGGTTGTTCTCTCCCCTTGTTATATGCTGGGTGCTGTGGGGGTAAAGGAACAATGGCATTTTTAAAGGCAAAGCTCTGCAGGTGGAGGCAGTGATAAGTAAAACAGAAAGGTTACTAGTAAAGTGGGGTTCTACAAAAACGGAATTCGGGGGTATCTTGTTTCAGCCTTTATGTAATCAATAGCATCAAATTATTGATCATTACCCCGGTTGACTGTTACTAAAATGAACTTTTGTAAATGCTGCGTATAACACACACTGGTGCCCCCTTTTCTCATTGGGGCCTTTTCTGTAATTTTGAGGTTCTCCCCCTCTTTCAGTAATACAATTCTCATACTTATCTTTCCAAAAAAAACTGCATGTCTTATCATATAAGAAAAAAAGGGAGTCAATAATCTCCTAGGACAGAAACTATATATGGAAGAGTGCAGATAAGTTGATGTATCAAAGATTAATGTGGGAAATTAATCATGCTTCTCTACAATTGTTTCTAAGAATAGGACCCTTTTAAGGATAATGGTCACCATACATATTAGAAGTGGAGAAAGTGATGCCACCATATGTGTAGTAAAACATGGGAACAAGGATACTTTTTGTTGGATTTATCAAAAAAAAAAGATACTTTTTGTTGGGGGAAACATTGATTGTTGTGGATCCAGTATGTGTACTGTTGGTTTTTCAAAAAGGTCTTGGAGCACCAGTGTTTATTTGTTAGTCATTCTTTTAATAGGCCACAAAGGGTTAGGGTTATACAATTTCTGTTCTTTTTCACATTTCAGAAAGCCAACAGTCTAGATTAAAATAAAATAATTGCTAGATCTCTATATACAAGCACTGAGAAAAGAAAAGGTTTTCCTCCTCTTCTAGGATTGAAAAACCAGCAGTACTGAAGGAATGTTTGGGTTGAAATTTGATGGATTTTTGCAGTAGAAACCTCAAGAAACCAGATCTTACTCTCTGACCATCTTAGGAAGTGTGCAAATGTCTCTACTCAGCTCTTTCTATATAAAAAGATAAATTGGAAAAAATTGGAACTTTAACAATTGAGAACTTAGGGTAGATCACTACCCACAACAATGACAGGCCTCAGAGTTCCCAGAAGCCCAGCCTGTCCAAACCCATAGCATCTACTTTGACTGAGCCATGCCAAATGGCTGGAGAAAATAATGATAATAAGAAATAAGCCTTGTATAGATGTTATACACTCGCTCCTTAAAAGCCCAAAACCATCTAGGGAAGTTTGCGTTTGGATTGGGTTCTTGTGAGAACTTAGGGTAGATCACTACCCACAACAATGACAGGCCACAGAGTTCTCAGAAGCCCAGCCTGTCCAAACCCATAGCATCTACTTTGACTGAGCCATGCCAAATGGCTGGAGAAAAGAATGATAATAAGAAATAAGCCTTGTATAGATGTTATACACTCACTCCTTAAAAGCCCAAAACCATTTAGAGTTTGTGTTTGGACTGGGTTCTTGTGAGACCCCTCTCCTCCCATCAAACACAA